TTTCCTAGATACTCCAGTCTGACTCATCAATAACTTGGGTGATGAGTGAATAATAGCTCAGGTGAGCCAATAAAGGAACACAGAGAAATCTTCATATCCCACCATCAATTTCCCACTTCTATTTCTGAGAATCAGCTCCAGGTATCAGGAAAAACCATCAGCCAGCACCTCAGCCCGGACAAGGGAGCAAACCCCACCTCAGAGAAGCAGCTGCTGGTCTAGAGATTACAATATTTGTAAGGAAAAGAGAGACAGTAAAAAGCCTCTAGAACAATTATCTAAAAAATGTGCACTTTTTCTTCATACCAGCAGCATGAGATTTTTTTGGAAGGTAAGATTTTGTAAGTCTGCAATTTTACAAGGGTTAAAAAATACACCTAAAATAAATATTTGATAAGATTCTCTGCCAATGTCATTGAAAGAAAATTTCCAACTTTAAGAATATAACAATTATTACAAGCTGCAGAACAGCAAGAATTGCTAACATTCAGCTTTCTCCCATCAGAAGATACAAGTGATTTTTTTAAACTCCACATGCTGAAGTTCTCTAAAATAGATTTCCTGTCCTTTCTCTAAGACTGCTGCACCCCATTCAGCCAGGGCACAGATAACATCTATGAATTAAAATGTCTGAAACCATACAAAATTCAAGCTTTACAACAGAAAAGCTTTTCTGCCACAGAGCTGAAAACTTCACAAGAGAAAGTTCTGTTTCCTCTGGAGGTGTTATATTCTTACAAACCAGCAGACTTACCCAGCTATGYTTGTAATTTATATTTAGTACAAGGTCTTTTCCTCCCACCTCTGGATATTCCAAATACAAAGAGTGAATCCTTCTAACTCACTTTTCTCCTATGGATTAGACCCCTTTCTCTTTTCTCCACTAGTATCATCATTTCAAGGTGCCTGCAAGCATGAATACACYATTACRCAAAATTCCAACATTTTTCTTWAAAAAATTAAAATAAAATTGAAAGCACTGTACTTGTTCAAGCTCAGCTGAAGGCAGTTTCTGTGTGACCAGCCTGGCCTTTACGTTCTTACTGGTGTCCCAGTTACAACATTGTTTGGATAGGCAGCCCAGCCCTTCAGAACCTCTGGCTCTGATCTTTTTTCCAGGTTGGGTATCTGCTGCAGGCTTAACAATTTTGGAAAGTTTTAGGGAATAAAACCAAACCAATTCAGATAATGAAATTAAGGAAAAGTACGTGTTGTTTAGCTCTTTTGAAAAGCTCCAATGTCTTCATAAGCTACAGCAGAGATTTTAAATTGGCAGAAAACTGCCCTCATCTGGAACATATATTCCTATTTCCAGGAAAATATTACTAAATTTGGCCAAGTTACAATTCTTTACTGAATTCTTTACTCTATATAAACTGTGTTTTTCTGACGATTCTCTGGTGTTTGACAGATGAGGATGAAATCAGCGTGCACATTTCTCTTCCTAGACTTTACTGTGCTAATTGGAGGAGGGAAGTTTTGATTGAGCTTTGTCTTCTAATTCAAATCAACAAGTCTAAGTTTTGTAACAGGTGAGTGTGACAAAATAGTTCATAGGCAACAAATCCCCAAGGAGACATTKGGCAGTCATTTGTGGCCGTTGGATGCACTCAGCGCAATTAGCAATCACTGTAATTGCAATGAGAGGCAATGTACCTGAGATGTGTTTGAAGRTGGCASAAGYGTTGTAAATGTTGAGAGAGCAGMTGCTGARGCGATGTACCTGAGATATRTTTGAAGRTGRCAGAAGTGTTGTAAATGYTGAGAGAGCAGCAGGTCYGTGCATCAGTGGCTGTGTGAGGATGTCCTGCCCGGTGAACGCAGTCTTTGCCCTTTGCACTCTGTAAAACGCTCGGAAAGGGTCACAGCGCAGTGCCAGTTTCTGTACCTCATTTCCCTGTTTTAGCCGAAGGGAGGGCACAGAAACTGACGGGACAAACGCAGGGATTGCCGGTGCGGAG